ATGAACTAGAAGTAGAAGTTCACTTCCCCAAAAACAAAACTGTACCAGCCTGAGTCTTTGAATAACCTTTCTTGGAACTAGCACATCACCACAGGTTCTGATAAAAAACCTGAGAGTCGGTTGTCCACACTGAGTTCCTGGCAGATGCTCTTGGGAATCAAGACTAGAAATTAGAAAAAGCTTTCTCCACCTCTGACTTGACTGAGGGCTCTCAGGGTAGCTGAGCCCTTTTACACAAAGTTCTGCTCGGTTTGCCAGTGCAAATTTACCAATGGACAAAACTCTTTGATTCCAAAATTCCTCACTTTTGTCCTGGCTCAAAACCTGATGCACATTAGGTGCAGAACTCAGCTCCGTATAACTCATACGCGGGATAGCTCCTTGTTCCTGCACTCAACCGCTTGTCGATGAGCCTCTAGATGTGATCCACGAGGAACAGAGTCAGGGATCGGAGATGCCCTTACTTCACTGTCAGGGAGTCCTCCAGACAACAATGAAAACCTGATGTGCTGCTTGTAAGGTTCACTTGACTGAACTCCCTTTCTACCTGAGGGTTCAAATCTTGTCCCTCTGCACTAGAATTTAACCTGCAGGGACTCTGGGTGGGAGAAATGGTGACTGTATCAGAGCAGGGAATATCCAAGGCAGCGCTCCCTGCTGTGGCTGGTTGCAATGAATCTACTGACTGGAGCTCTGAAACTCCATAGTGGGGAGAAAGGCTGCAGTTGGGAACATCCCCTGATTTTGCGGGGCCTGGGGCTGGTCCCACTGCAAGTGTCCCGAATTGGCGTCACCAGCTGCATCAAAAGTGAAGCAACAGTCTCTGTCCCAATGGTTTCCCTTATGGCATCATGGACAAGTTCCAGGTGATACTCTCACAATGGCATGATTTGGATATGCCCTGCAGTCCTTACAGGTAAAGGTAAAAGGCCCTCCCGTTGATCGTTGATTTGCTCGAGCGGGCCCAGTAACATCTCCATTGGAGACTTTGTTGTTACTGTGTCTGGCATATCGAATACTCTCGGTAGCTTGCCGGGCTCTCCGAGAGGGGTGGAGGAATCGAACTCGGGTCGGCCATGTTGGCCGCTTGTAAGGCGAACGCCCTACCCGCTGTGCTATCGCTCTAGTCCTTACAGAAGTAGCCTGATTTCCCACAATTAAAACATTTGCCCTGATCTTGCCTCTGTATGGCATAGGCCTCAACAGCATTAATACGTGCCTGATGTTTGATAGAACCAACATTCCGACATGCCTTCAAGTACCCCATTATGTCCTTCTTCTCCTTAAGGGGGCGCAGAATGGCCTGGCAATACTCATTAGCATTTTCAAAGGCCAATTGTTTGGACAAAAGCTCCTGAGTGTCTTTACCCTTAACCTGCCTTTCAATGGCTTCCATCAACCTCCCTATGAAGTCTGCATAAGGTTCTGAGGCACCCTGAATAATCTTTGTGTAGCTTCCCTTGAAAGAATCCATATTAGGGCATCAAATTTTTGCGTGCTTCAGCTAACTTGCAGCATTGCTTTCTGTAAAACTGCTTGGCTGCTTTGCACCTGGGGGAGAAGGGACTTGGAAAGTGAACAGGGCATAACTTCTTTCTAAACCAAGTGTGACAGGATTCAGGTGTATTTACTGTTCCTGAAATGTATTGTCTCAGTAAAGCACCCTGCAGATTTGGGTAAAGGATAACTCAGGATGCTGTGGTTGGGGGAAATTGCCCTTTCCTGGAGTGTATTGTCTCACTAAAGCACCCTGCAGATTTGGGTAACTCAAAATGTGGATGGTCAAGGGAGATTACCTAAGGCTTAATGATTCCGGCTATAACCTTGCTTGTGCTGATAATTGATGTACGTAAATGCTGATCTTTGAATCTATAGGCTAAGGAGTGAGGTACTTTTAAATGGATTGGTTAAGAAAGTATATGTTGTTACAAATCTATTGGCTATGAAATGTGCGGGCCTTGCTGTAAGGGCCAGTGAAGGCCTATATAAGACCCCCTTTGAAGAAGCTCGAGGCTCTCAGCCACTGCCCATTCTGGCCTATGTTGTGGAGCCCCAGCATGCTGGTCTAAATAAACCCCTTTTTTACTCCTGCAGGAATTGTGTCTATCTGGTCTCTCCGCGCCTCCCAGGGCTAGGGAACTCCCGATCCCAACACCTTTAAATTCCACATCTGCATCAATCCTCTCCCAGGCCCACAGGGACATGAGCAAAAACAACATGAAGCAAAGTGACTTGGCTTTTTTTTTAAATTTTGCTTTTATTTATTTATTTATTTATTTATTTATTTTTATTAGTGAAACACCATGAGGTACAGTTGTAGACTTACAAATTTTTGTGCTTGGGTTTCAGTTATACAATGATCGAGTACCCATCCCTCCACCAGTGCCCATTCTCCACCACCACTGATCCCAGCATCCCTCCCACCCCCACCATTCCCCCATCTCCCCTGCCTCTGTGGCAGGGCATTCCCTTTTGTTCTCTCTCTCCTTTTGGGTGCTGTGGTTTTCAAAAGAGGCATTGAGTGGCAATCATATTGACTTGCTTTTTAGGGTCGTGCCATTTTCCTTCACCTATTAACATCTCAAGTCACTTTAATTCCTGAAAATTTCCTTCCAGCATGGCCTAGGCTCTAAAGTTTTGCCTTGACCTCATCACTGAACCACATCCTCCACTGCATGTACTGAGAAGGGCTTAAGCACCTCTTAGCAACCATGTGAAATTCTTGAGGTACCCAGTGAGCCTTTTTACTCCAGCCTGTAAGGTACTCCCTATAGTACGGAGATGTAGGTCTGTACGAGGCACAGGCCTTTTTGAAATTACTTAGTGAATCCATTCTTAACCCTTCATAAGATGGAGACTGATTCTTCTCCAGCTGGATGGGAAAAAAGAGACGAAGCTCGTGGGGTCTGGGTGGGATTGATCACTTATGGTCCAGAGGTCTTAGCTGTGAGCTTCTATCGGGAGTGTGTCCCGAGTAGCTTGGAGGCCGCATGACTGAAGAGTGGTGGCTCCTGTGAGAAGCCTTCTGTACCAAGCCACTTTCAGACTTGGAATCTGAGGAAGTGGTAGCTGGCTCATCATATGCATCACTTTCCTCTGACACACTGGAAGTGGAGTCATACAGAGGAGGTGGGGGGGGGGTCTCTCTGGCTTGACATCAGTAGGGAACATTAATTCATCAGTGGCAGAGAGATTTTTGCTTGTAGAACATGTTTCCACTGGGAATGTCTTGAGCTGCTTTTGAGGCTTGGGTACGAGAGTAGCCAAGCATTGAGTATCCAGCTTCTTTCAAGGCTTGAATATGGGAAGAGCAGAGGGTAAGGCTCTCTCAGTAGTAGGAACTTTCTTCATTTCATACTTAATCTTAAAATCCTCTCTGTTTAACTCCTGAGGAAAACCTCCCATAGTATATCTAACATCCTCCTCCTCGGAGGTACCTTCCAAAGCCTTAAAATGGAGTTAACAATTTCCCAAGTTACCAGAATTGTTAGGGTATTCTAGCTCCTTTAAATTCACTGAAGAGGGGCTGGAGAAATAGCACAGCAGATAGGGCGTTTGCCTTGCACGCGGCCGACCCGGGTTCAATTCCCAGCATCCCATATGGTCCCCTGAGCACCGCTAGGGGTAATTCCTGAGTGCAGAGCCAGGAGTAACCCCTGTGCATCGCCAGGTGTGACCCAAAAAGCAAAATAATAATAATTAATAATAATAATAATAAATTCCCTGAAGACATTTCCCTTAATCTTTTCCCAAGCCTAAGGCTCCAAAGTACCCTTATCTGGAAACCAAAGATGAATTTATAAACAGTTTTTTTTTTTGAGCAGAGAACATGCTTTATTGAAGAGTAATATAGAACAGCACATTCCAGCACATGTGGGGAAGGACTAGCTTCTGTAAAAGGCCTGTGGCCCTTAAGAAACCCCCCGCCCCCCACCATGAAATTGCTTTTGGATACATTTTGACAGTGACACTGAGATGGGCAGGGAGCGGCCACTGAACATGCTTAAAATGAGCTCCCCCAACCCACAGTGAGTCTAAGTAGTGTACAGAGATGACAGAGAAAGGCACAAACGACCAGAGCTGGGACTGTGGCGAGGGCACCCCGTGAAGACAGCAGTGCTGGAGGAGACCAGGCTGAGAAGGGTGACATGTCCAACATCAAAAGCTACCCCAAGAGAGCAGGTTATAACGGGCTGGAGAGAAATTAGAGGGAGGACTTTTGCCTTCACATGAACACCACCCAAAATAGAGACCAGAGAAGAGGATGGTGTGGCAAAACCCAGAGCGGAAACAAGGGCGGAGCTGGCGGAGGACATAAGCATTTTCGTCCTAGGCCAGCGGGGACGGGGCACGGTTTCACAGGGAAGTGAACCTTGGCAGGGAGGCCATTCTGCCTTGCTGAGTCATGGGCTGGGATACGGATGTCATTTTCAATCTTGTTTTACGTCTCCAAGGATGTGCAGACAAAAAAAATCAATGCAACTTATGAGGAAGGATGGGTGTGCCATGTCAGCCTGAGACAGGTGACAAAGTTTTGTGGTGTAATTAATCAGTTACCATGCAGCATGAAAGGGAGAGGCGGAATTTATTTTGGCACCTGCAAATGTAAAAAGGGGCAGGGAGTAAAGAAAAAACATTTACCACTGGATACTTTCTGGTGAGGCAAAAAAGTATTCAATTGCTTCTACCACGGCACTGCCCACTGCCCACAGAGGAACTCAAATCCAAACACAGAATCAACACCTATGAATTCTTCTCTCCATCCCCTTCAGATTATGTGCTGTTACCCTAACTCATCTCTGAAGAATCTTCAAAAATATTTGGCTCTGGTCAGCCTGATATGAATCAAAGCAGATCTTTTAACAAAAACGGGGGTGGGGGGGTGGGGAGGAGAACTACAAGTGAGATGAAATCCCAAGGGCACGGAGCCCTCTCAGTACACACACTCAGCTTCCTGCCCCTCTGAAACACAGGTGGTAAGGAATAACTAGAAAGATGATCCTGGTAACCGTAATTGGGAGGTCTGGTGAGACCAGGCAGCAAGAAGCACTATTACCAAGTTTAAAAGACACAATACAACCTCATGGGGCTGAAGAACATGAGGAGAGAACCAGTGACTGGACAGGTACAGTACCAAAACAGAACACCTTGGGTCAGTGCTACGCGGGATCTGCACGCAAGTCTAACAGAGATCCCATCTGGGCAACCTCACTGAGGCCGAAACAGCAGTTCCTCAGAACCAGCGTATGCAGTGTGCATGAAGGTCAGAGCGAGGACAGTCCTGAGGGGTGGGGGGGCCTTCCCAGAGGATACTGTACTTGCCAATCACGAGAGCAACAGAAATGACAGACAGATCCCTAGGGTATGGATTCCTACTGCTGGGGTTCGCTGGCTCAGAGTACCGAGTCACTTTAAGTGCCCTTCGGAGGGGTCCATTTTAAACAGCTTCGATCCTGGTTTTATTGGAGTTGGATCTCTTGGCCTCTTTGGCTATCCACTCATTTATCAGGTCCTGTCTCTTTAAAACTAGGTGTTTTCCTTTCCAATACTTGAGCATCTGAAGGGCTTGCAGAGTGCTAACAATGTCCACAGGATTCACAGCTGTCTCCTGGCTAATTTCTTTAATAGAAATTTCTTTGCCTTGGAAATTATGTAGGTAACGGAGAAGAACTTCCTTCCAGTAACTGCGGTAGCTTATGAGTCCCAGATCTGAGAGTGGACGTTCTGGGGAACCAACTTTTTCTTCCACTTTGGAAAGCAAATAGCTGAAATCAATCAGCATCTTCCCATAGCCTTGTCTCATGTACTGTGGCATGGTAAGGATACAGGAAACATTGTAGTTGAGGAATGAATTCTTTTCCTTGGAAAAATACCCAATCAGGTGACAGCCAGTGTTGTCCGCTTCTGTCATGACATAGAACAGGAAGGGCTCCACATCATAATATAATGTCTTATGGTCCAGAAAAAGCTTGGCCAACAGGCACAGGTTTTGGCAGTAGATCTTGTTTTTCTTGCCATCCACCTCAAACATGGAGATTGAGCCTTTGCGATAGATCTCGTCACCGGGCGGGTGCTTCCACACACACTTAGCCATGTGTCGGCGGAGTATTGTCTGGCTCTTCATGTATTTTAGACAGAATTCACACATGTAGAGATGGCCCAGGCGTGCATACTCCTCAGGATAGGGAGAATGGTACCAGGTATCGAGCTCATAGCGACCAAATGCAATGGTTTTGATCATGTTGCTCCCCTCCGTGATTTGACCTTGAAGCCTTAACTTCTCCAAATCCTCTGAAGCCCGGGCTTGTGCTCTTCGGAAAAGATCCAAGTCATACTCGCTAGTCAGGTTTTCCAAGAGTGGTTCCCGAGTGTTCCCATAGGTCTGCCTGTGTTCCATGGCAATGATTACTAGTATCCCTTTGCGGAAAAGCTATAAACAGTTTTTAGGCAGGACTGAAGTTGGTCCGGAGAAACACGAAGTCCAGTTCTCTTTGCAAAATGCTTAATCAGTTCAATAAATTTTTTAAAAAATGGCCACGTTCAGTTTGTCGAGAAAGATTTTTAAAGGGCTTCATGCGGCACTGTTTTTGTCCCATCTTAGTGGGAGAGTATGGCTAGTATTTAAATTCAATGCGCCACAAAATCTTAGTTTTCCCACTAAACTTTTCTAGCGTGGGGGTCTACCGAGCGCTGTTCTTATCTTTAGTTGCGCACCGGTTGGAGGTTTGTGCACACACAGACAGCACGCAGGGATGCCAGATGTGTAAAATCAAAAAGGACTGCAGCACCGGTCTATCTCTCCCACTGCCCGCGTTCGGTAGTCTCACGCCTCTTCCCCCATCCCGGAGAGGTCGAAGGCGATGGGCAGGCGAAGGAAGGAAATGAGGACCAAGCTGGTTGGTCTTAGTTGCAGTTTATTCCATTCCCATCTCCTTTCTCCTCTGATTCTCCTCCTGCTTCTTCCTCCCCCATGATACTTCATTCTCCTCCTCAATCCCTCTTCATTCTCCTTCTCACTCTGGAATCTGGATCCCCTTTCTCCTTCTCCTTCTGGAGTCTGGATCCTGATCCCCCAGCCCACTCTTCCAGTCTAGTTAAATCCCAAAGCATGAGGGGTTGGGGTAACAATTACACATAGGTGTGGTCACAATCAATAGGGGTAAAGTTCTTTCCCTCGGGGAAAGCCACTTCTAGGACAGATACTCTCTCAGCAGGATGACCCACCCTAGAATGGAATCCCCTGGGTGTGTTTCTCCTCTCCTTGTCCAACAAACATATAAGCATATGTAATATAAATCCTTTTTTATGGATACAGTAAGAAATACCTTAAACTTATAGAATTGCTCTCCTAGGGCCATCTTGATCTCAGACTACAGTGCTCAGGCCAGATAGTCTTTCCTATCCCTAGTCCCATCGTTACTTTTGGATCATGACAGCATTTGTCTATGATCAAGCTCTTAACTTATAGTTAAGAATCATGGCACTTTGGCCTGGCCCATTTCGATGCCAGGGTTGCTCACAGCTTGCCCTGGGTCCATTCAGTCCCTCGTTGGGACCCTGCTTTTGGGGTGCTAGGAACTAAGGGCAACTGAGACTTAAGTCGAGAAAGCAGATGCCCGGGAGTGAATCAAAGCCAATTAAATCCTAAGTTACAAAGCATAATATTAACGGTCTTCCTGTATCTATACAAAAAGGACAATGCATTAAACTAAACTATTCAAAAGACATAAGGAGAGGAGAAAGGCAATATTAACTTACAATACAATTTCAGTGTCCTAGAAGAATCTAACCTTACAAATTAACAGATTCTGATTAGGAGAAAAGCTGATTAACTGGTTGGGGAAGAGAGCACAGAGAAGAGTTTACGGATAAGCAAAATGGAATAGAAGTGCCTCAGGAGCACTGTAAAAAACCTGAGTTCCTTGTGGCAAGGGAGAAAGGACAAAGCAATATTATCTTACAGTAGGAAATATATTTTATCTATTCATTTCAGTTTGGGGGGTTGGTGTATTGTTTTATTTTGGGGGCACATCCAGCTGTGCTCAGGGGTCACTACTAGCGAGGCTCAGGGCACATATGGGGTACAAGCAATCAAACCTGGTTGGGACATGTGTGAGGCCGGCACCTTTCCTGCTGTACTGCCTCTCCAGTCTCTTCACCTACCTACATATTTAAAGCAAAATTAAACTGTCTGTCTGTGTGTCCTCCCGTTGTTCATCGATTTGCTCGAGTGGGCCTATTAATGTCTCCATTTTGTTGTTACTGTGTTTGGCATATTGAATACGTCACGGGTAGCTTGTCAGGCTTTGCCGCGTGGGTGAGATACTCTCGGTAGCTTGCTGAGCTCTCTGAGAGGGGCAGAGGAATCAAACCCGGCTTGGCCGGGTTGGCTGCACGCAAGGCAAATGCCCTACCACTGTGCTATCACTCCAGTCCGAAAGTAGTGAGTGGTCGCAAGATCAACCTAAAGTCAACATGCAGCAAAGCAAAATTAATAAAATTTAAATTACAAATACATATAATCAAGTCCAAGGAACATATCACTTGAGTTTAGTAATAATACCTGAGATTGTACTCTACTCTTTTTGGTAAAATAGCAACCTGTTTTGGAAAAAGAGCTTATGAACTGTGACAAAGAACATTCACAAAGAGACAGAGAAATGGGACAGTGAGTAGGGCATTTGCCTTGCATGCGGCTAATCCCAGTTAATTACCCTGCACCACACATGGCTCCCTGAACCCACCAGGAATGCCCCCTGAGCACAGATCCAGGAGTAGCACTGAACACCAGCAGGTGTGGACCAAAAACCAAAAAAATAAAAAGAGAGAGGATAGAGAGAGAGAGAGAGAGAGAGAGAGAGAGAGAGAGAGAGAGAACTCAAAGAAATAAATATTCCATGAAAAATAATATTTAAATTTAAACACTAGTTAAGGGCCCAGGTATGTGATTTAAGTGGTAGAACACATGCCTCAAATGTTCAAGGCCCTGGATTTCAACACTAGGAGAGGCCCCACAAGTAAATTAAATAAAAATAAATTCTATTTAAGAACAACTGTCTTTCCTCAATATCACACAAGACATGGGCTGGAGCGATAGCACAGCGGGTAGGGTGTTTGCCTTGCAAGTGGTCAATATGGCCGACCCGAGTTCAATTCCTCCGACCCTCTCGAAGAACCCGGCAAGCTACTGAGAGTATCTTACCCGCACAGCAAATCCTGGCAAGCTACCTGTGATGTATTCGATATGTCAAACACTGTAACAGAAGTTTCACAGTGGAGATGTTGATGAACAACGGGAGGACAGTGACAGTGACAGTGACACACAAGACATAAACTGTGCAGGGTTAACATCGTTTTAAATACCAGAAATGCTATAAAATATTGAATGACAAAATCAGAAATTTGAAGACTTTTTTTTTCTTTGTCAGCATACAGATAATGTAGTAATGTTATAGCAAAGCTTAAGTAAGGTACATGTTATACAGGTGCTTGGACACCCAATCACCACACTTACGAGCCACAAAAGAATGGGAAAATCTTATCTTTTAAAAAAAATTAAGGGATGAAGAGATAGTCCAGTGGGTAGAGCATTTGCATCTCATGTAGCCAACTTGTTTTCAATTCAGGTATCCCATTTGGTCCCCAAAGCAACACTAGGAGTAATTTCTGAGCACAGAGCCAGGAGTAACTCCTGAACATTTCTGAGTCTGGCCCAAAAGCACAGCAAAAAAGTTAAAAATAAATCTTATTTTTCTCCTTGTACAAAGTCACCTTAAAATGGGGATTTCTAGGGGCTGGAGTAATAGCACAGCGGGTAGGGCGTTTGCCTTGCACGCGGCCAACCCAAGTTCGATTCCCAGCATCCCATATGGTCCCCTGAGCACTGCCAGGGGTGATTCCTGAGTGCAGAGCCAGGAGTAACCCCTGTGCATCGCCAGGTGTGACCCAAAAAGCAAAAAAAATGGGGATTTCTAGAAATAATCAAATTAAAACCCACGATAACTAAAGTCACAGTAGTTATCACAAATGATAACTACAGCACAAGTAATAGTCCTAATAAGTGATAACTAAAGCATAAATAATTATTTTATTCTGACCCATGAACATGACTTGAGACCTAATGAGAATAATCAAAGGGTTGCAGAGACAGCAAAACTGATTTGGTACAGGAGCTGATGGATCCCTGGCACCACATGGTCCCCAAGCACACTGGAAGTCATGTCCAAACATCTCCTGGTGTGTTACACCCTCACCACACACACACATACACACAAACATACATAACAGATGCCAGCTGTGGCCCAAACACATACTCACACTAAAGGTCACAGACATATTCCTACAGTTAAGAAGAGAGAAAATGTCTGAGTTGGGTTGATAAAATATATCACGGGCTGCAGAGGGAGTATGGAGGCTGGGGAACATGCCTTGCGTCACCCTACCTGGACTCAACCTGGTGCCACATGGTCCCTAGAGCATCACTGACTATGGCCTTAGAGGCCCCTGACTGCCATCCGGTTGGCCCTCATGGTCTCCAATGCCTGAGCAGCACACCCTCAGACCCCAGCTCTCAATCGTCCAGGGCGCCAGCCTGAGAGACACCAAAGCCTCAGGGACCCCTCAGTACTGCCTGTGGAGTGGAGAGGGTATCCCATATGGTCCCCTGAGCACTGCCAGGAGTAATTCCTGAGTGCATGAGCCAGGAGTAACCCCTGTGCATCGCTGGATGTGACCCAAAAAGCAAAAAAAAAAAAAAAGAGTAAATGAATAATCTACAAAAAAACAGCCTATACCCTTACACACATTTTCAGAACTGACTTTTTAGCAAAGCTTAACCTGTAAACACTCAAATTAAAAGTTTGCAAAGTACATTCAGACATTAATCAAGTATTCATACAGACAAAACTCCTGAGGTAATTAATTCTAATCCAAAAAAAAATGGTCTCTCCACTGACATGTAGGCATAACACAAATCAACAAATAGTTTTCATCACCATAATAAAGCTTGTTTGAAAAATGGATATTTCTTGGACCAGAATGATAGCACAGCAGGCAATGCACTTGTTTGCCTTGCATATGGCCAACCTAGGTTTGATCCCCAGCATCCAATATGGTCCACTGAGCACTTCCAGGAGTCATTTCTGAATATAGAGCCAGGAGTAATCCCTGAGCATCACCATGTGTGTTCCCAAAATAAAAACAAAACAAAAAATGCATACTTCTTCCCTGATGAGCCCAAATATACACCTAGCAGATCTGAAGAGCACTTTCCTTCTCAGGTGCAACAGACAATTATCCCTATATTCTTAGGGTTAGCAATCAAGGACAGAATTTTTCTCTGTATGATATTAAAGTGTTTAGTTGAGAGCAAATGTTTCCTTCTAAGCCAAATATCCT